TTGAAGAACCCACGGAAGAATTGGACATGATAAAGCTTTCGAATCATCGTGGGATGTGTTCATGGATGTTTAATGTAAGACCACAACATTCAATATAGATTTATCATGGCCAGAGTTTTATGGTAGAAATTATGTTATTAATATGCTTTAAAATCGCCAACACCTGAGGGTATGATGTAAATCCTGCTAGGGTACAGGTAGGGAAAGTAATGGTCCCCATGGTCACTGGTATGGTGATTAGGGGTGGGTATTGCAAGGAATTTTCATATTGCGATAAATTGCGATGCGAAAGCATGTATTGCGATATGTATTGCAATATATTGCAAGACGTTTTCTTTAACAAAAAATACGAATAATCGAGTTAATGCTTGTTTTTTTAAAGTAAAACCACAACAAAATCACAATGCTTGATTAGGTGTTAATAAAAACTTTTAATAATGACAAAATAAAAATGTAAATAATGTTTGGCACAAATGAAACAAGGAAAGGAACAATTTAAAAAACGGAAATATCCGAAGATTTCCGAGTGTTACGAAGTTTTCCGAATGCATGTCAAAATACCGGTTTTCGATCAGCGTATCGCAATACGTATCGTTTTCATGTCTGAACCGGTAAATACCGGTAAACCGGTTATATTGCGCAGCCCTAATGGTGATCAGCCTTCTCGGAACCTTTTCGATAAGTATTTCCATTCAATAATATTTGATGTAGAACCCGCTTTCGATGTATTTTTATCATATCAGCTAGGACAAGCTGTTCATGGTGGCACATTTGGGCTAGATCTCGAAAGCCAAGAGCAGTTACCGCCTGTTTCTTTTCATTGAATCTTTTCATTTATCAAGAAAAAAAATGTTCCCATGATATCACCACACTGACATTTGGATTACATGCTCTTTCACAGTGATTTTATGAGAGTTTCTACCGCCATTTAGCTTCCAATGATACCACGATATTTAGAGGTGAGGTGAGGTGAAATTGGGTTTAACGTCGTGCATGCGTGGTGTATGTGTATGTGCGGCTGCTTGTACTAGCCCACATTTTAGCTGGTTTTATAGTGCTAGCCCACTGAGATATCATCCCGCAGTGAAGCATGAATACCCCGCTCAGACACATTATACTGACTCCGAGCCGACCAGTCCTTGTTGTACCCATTAATGCCGAGCGCCAGGCTGGGTCCAAAAGTACCATATTTTAACGTCTTTTGGTATGACGCGGAGGGGATCGAACCCGCGACCTTCCGCTCTCCAGGCGGACGCTCTAACCACTACACCACGGAGGCGGTCCCACGATATCTGGACAGATTGTATGTATCTATTTCAGATAACAGCTTCTAAGATTAACGATTACATTACATAATGTTAAGAAGGTCAAACTTGTCTCAGCTAATTGTAGAGAGGACTTGCAAATAAATCTAAAAGAAACGAAGTTATAAAGATATATAGGAAAAACATATATACTCACAAGATATTCATATTGATGAATCTACTTGCAATACTGTCAACGCGTGGATGTGTGTCGACTGGGGAATTAGCTCATGTTTAAGATGAAGTGTACGTACAATACGTTGACAAAACGAAGGAATACGTTGAGCTCAAACTTCTTTAGTTACAAGACAAACAAATACACAAGACATAAATGAGGTGAGCGGAGTACCTGCTCAACCCCAGGGCGTTTCCTACAAGCGGCATTATGCTGCTCGTGGTCGTCTCAACACAGACAGTCGGAATACTGGACACGTACACGTACCGTACACTGTGTTTTTTTTCAATATACATGTACATGTAGATGTGAGCATATGTTTACAGTTTTTTGACAACAATGGACAGGTGAACAGAAGCAATTTTTAACAAACTCACTTGCCTCACCTTGTATGATATGTGCTTCGTTGTGGTGCAGGACAGATGTCCTAGAAACTCTCAGGAAAGAGGACATGGGTATTGGTAGTTTAATAATTCCTTGTTGTTAAAACCTGAATATGGAAACTTAGTAAGAACAATATTAAATGATACTATTCAGGAATATTCAACAGAAAAAACTGATGACTTTAAAAACACTGAACATATTAAACTTTCAATTTCTAATTCCTTATTTCTTGAAACTTTATTAATGAAAATTCGAGGAAAGGCTATATCTTTTTCATCCTACATAAAGAACACAAAAACAAAAATACAGAAGAACTAGACTTAAAAAAACCCAGGTTATTATTAGCAGAAACTTTCAAAACATTTATGAAGAACTTTTGTGTGAACTATATAAGAAAACACGGAAGAAGTTATCGAGGAAGTATAAGGAATACAAATCCGACACCGAAACCGAAACCGAATTCTTTGGTATGAAGAATTAGAAAAACATTCAAAATATTTCTGCCATCTGGAAAATAGAAATGTCCCCCAAAATCAATCAATAAGTTGATAACTAATGATAACAATGAAATCACAGACAACAAATCAATACTTAATGAAGTAAAACTAGTTTATAAAAAATCTCTATACTTCTCGTGAAAAGTATAAGGAAGAAAACTGCTTGAAGGATATTAAAACCCCAACGAAACACTAAGAGACTATCTTGAAAGAGAAATCAGTATAGATGAAATTAGCAATGCTGTTTACAGGATGAAGAATAATAAAAGTCGTGGGATTCATGGATTTCCTATTGATTTCTTTACATTTTCGGGGAAAGAATTTAAAGTATGGATCTATAGATTTAAAAACTGGAGACCAAGCTCTTTACTAAATGATATACTCATGCCAATAATGGTTGTCACCCCCTCCCCACCCCAACCCCACATCTCATCCACCCCCACCCCTCTCCAATTAAAAATTGAAGGGGTGACAACCATTATTGGAATGAGTATATTTATAAACCTATCAGCTCCTGCATTGCTCATAGATTAAAAACTGCTTTAGATGAACTTATTCACTCTAATCAAGCTTGTTTTATACCAGGTAGGACTATTAGCAAAACTACAATATTGTTATGATATAATGTTTGGAACAAATTCCTGGCTTGGTGATACTGCTTTATTTTGAAAAAGCGTTTGACACTGTTTCAAAAGATTGTATTAACCTAGTTTTACATCAATTTGAATTTGGCCCTGAAATGATAAGATGGATGAATTTATTAACTTACGAAACAACATCTCGTGTCATCCAACATGGTAATCTGTCTGACCTATTTGCAAATGAAAGAGGATGTAGACAAGGAGACCCACTATCCCCGTACCTTTTTCTTTTTGCTGTTGAGATTCTTGGCTTCTTGATACGAAATAATGAAAACATCAAAGGTATTGTCATCATTGATAATGAATATAAACTGGATCAAAATACTTATGATACTGAACTATTTCTTGGTGGAACTGAGTATAGTTTGTACACTGCTATTGACACAATTAATCATTTTTACAAAATGTCAGATTTGAAAATTAATTTAGATAAATAAAATATAGATTGGATCAAAATCTAAATCTATTGATAATTTGATAAAATATGTAATGATCTGAATTAGTAATTGGTGAGTTTGATGTACTAGGTATTAAATTTACACCAGATCTTAAATACGTATGTGTAAGAAACACCCATCTAATAAACCTTTCAAAGATATATTTAATTTTGGAGCAAATTCTGAAACTTACATTAATATTGAAAATATTTTTCGGCATGATGTATTTTCTTGTTTCAGTTGGTTTCACTAGAAAGGGGTTTTCTCATTTGTGTTTTATTCGTATTTATTACTCGCCCGTGGAAGATACTGCAGTGTAATATGTTTACAATTGCATGAGTGGACAGCGCACATCATGACACCAGGTGTTCACAAAAAGAGTCACCATGTCTTACAATATATTGGCACCCACCTCTCTCATAACACTTAATGTGTGTTGAGGCAGTTGCAAAGTTTGACGCATCAATTATAACAATGATGTCCGATGCAATTCCACATTTTGATTTGAACCAGACCTCCCTGCTTTGTAAAGGTCAATAACTGACTAGGTTTTTCACAAACATCTGTGCACGTGGTCATCAATATGTTGATAGTGATTCATAAACACATGTTCGCGATACAGTAGGCACTATACGATCAACTCGATGTTCTACAAAGATTTCTTATTGATAATGTATAGGTTTCTTTTATTTGAAATATATGTTTTTCATTCATATGTAATATCACCTCAAGTAGATTTATGAAATAAAGGTAGTGCGGTGGTAACTCTTCAAATAGTTAAATTACGCAAATAAAATCCTCCATGCTTACGAACTGCTTCAAAGTTGATAGGACCCGTGAAGGTCCGTGTAAGAATATTGATCTTCAGTAACCCATGCTTGTCGTAAGAGGCGACTAACGAGATCGGGTGGTCAGGCTCGCTGACTTGGTTGACACATGTCATCGGTTACCAACTGCGCAGATCAATGCTCATGTTGTTGATCACTGGATTGTCTGATCCAGACTCTAATATTTACAGACCGCCGCCATATAGATGGAATATTGCTGGGTGTGGCGTAAAACTAAACTCACTCACTCACTCACTCAGAGCACACTTTGCTTTGAGCACCGTAAGGAAAATAAATACCCATCACTACCTAAGGTAAGCCTCACGCTGATTACAGGGAAGATCCGGGTTCGAATTGGTCTTAAGCAACCCATGCTGGTCTTAAGTGGCGATTAATGGTATCTGGTAGTCAGGCTCGCTGATCCGATTGACACTTGACATTGTTTCTCAATTGCGTAGATCGATGCTCATGCTGTTGATCAGTGGATTGCCTGGTCCAGATTCGATTACTTACGGAACGCTGCCATATAGCTGGAATATTGCTGAGTGCGACGTTAAGCAATAAACAAACCTGGTACCGATTTATACAAGATGGCGGCATGACCTGATGGCTGAGTTTTGGGTACCCTGTTCTACAAAGGCCAACATTTCCTTCTACTGAACATTCTGAAAATTCCTTGTCTGGTGGAATTAGTGTCAGATAGGTTACTTTTGTCAACAGAACAATAAACACCTGAGAGTTTTACAATTTATTGCTCAACTGATAATTGCGAATCAGTGTCCATTTTGTTCTGTGGTTCCTTTCAGATTTGGGGCAGGAACGCTGAAAAAAGAAAGAAAGTTAAGAATGCATAACAATGTGACGTTTTAGATACTGGTTTACGTGATGGAAGCGGAACTTTCCCGATTTCAGCTCTCATACTCCTGTTTGTTGTTTAACGCCACACTCAGCAATATTAGAGTCTAGACAAGTAATCTACCCATGAATATCATGAGCATCGATTTAGGTAATTGAATGGGGATACCATGTGACAACCAAGTCAGAAAGCCTGACCACCCGATCCCGTTAGACGCCTCTTACGACAAGCATGGGTTGCTGGACCAATTCTAACCCGGATCTTCAGGGTAAGTTTAACCACGCCTTGCAGTAACTCACTTTGATTGATGCAAAAAGGAAATACTATTATATAAATACAGATCAAAAGATTCCCCGATCATTTGCTTCAACACTAATGTATACACAAATCGATTAAAAAGAAGGTTTAATAATAAAACTTTATTTGAATCATTGAGTATATTCTCTGGTATTAGGAGTTAAAAGCGGAGTAAAAACCCGTAGAATTCGCCTTCCCAATTTCCATTGTCAGAGTATAGTAAAACTGGTGAGAACTGGAATATATGTCATTGGATGATAGCTCTTGTGACACACAACGAAAGAAATGACAGTCTACATACCTAGTAATAGTAGATAGAAGCGACAAAACCCTTTCCACACCCATAGTAATCTCTGCCAGCAACAGAGTCGATTGCACAATTGTGACTATATCATAAGTATGTAAGCATATATTTGTTTCAGAAGTATTTGTAAACAAATCGAGTCTGGACTAGACAATGCAGTGATTTATACGATGAGCATGTGTTTATGAATCACTATGAAATAGGTCCTCCTGAGAGGGTACGTAAGTCCCAAAACATTCAAAGTAAACTTACCAGATTTTTTAAACGTATTACATTTCTGATTATACATCATGGCTAGATTCGACTACAATCGCCAGCGGCTAAGGGATAGTGTAAATCCAGCTATGGTCCATGCAGGTAGCAAAGGCACCGCAAGTCCCCATGTCCCTAGCATGGTGATCTACCTTCAGTTGCTGGCGATCTATAACCCATTTTCTATCTTGTATTGTCCTAATTTGAAATCCAATTTTAGAGATATATGCTAGATTCAATTCTTGATACTGTGATATACTAGTTGGTTTTAATGTCCTTCGTTCTAAGGCTTTTTTTTAATTTACATGTATTTATTGTGAATTTACAAAACTTACTCACGATATGGCTGAAATACTGCCGATGTGACTTTCAATATTAACTCACACACTCACGATGAAATAGTGATGATACCAGGCGTTCGCAAAAAGGTGAGCATATCCTCGTATGTTAAGCCTAGTCAATTGTTCACCTGAAATAATTCAGGAAATATGGTATAAGTCATAATAAGGAATTGTATCAGACATCATTTTTGTCACTGAGGGATCAAATTTCGAACTGTTCTCCACATTTCTACTATAAAACTTCTGGAAAACTTTACTGAGGCCTTGAATGTTGTAACCTTGATCGAACTACTTCTGAGCAAAAGTGGCATGACGCTCTTTGAAATCCTGATAAAAAAAGGTCAAGCTCGATTGTACCTCAAAAGTTGTGAAATGTAAACACCAAGCTATTGAAATATTGCTCGACATGAAAGGGAAGTTGACAATAGGAAAGCTGAAATCATCCCATTTCTCATAGAGCCTTGTGGCTGTGTTTTGTCACTCTGAAACTTTATGCATAGATCTTAATATGAAACGGTTGAGGAGGTCTCTCTTGTCCCCTTAATTTCAAGTTCAGGTGGGTACGTCAGTGGAAGGCAATTGGCTATTTGGTGCAAGCTTATGTTAACCTTCTTGGCCAAATTACATTGTTTTGATTTTGCCAACCCAAGCAGAGTCATATGCATAAAGAAACAGATCCGCAAGGAGGATAGCACAATTGGTGCATGAATACACAGTGCCATATAGAAAGTAGAAATGTTATATTTGGGATTACACTTTCTTAGTAAAGTACAAATTCTAGTACTTTTGTTGGGTTGAGCCCCATCCGGGATTCGAACCCACACCTTCAGAGTCAGGCACCTAATCGCAAGCACAAAGTCAACCGCCTAACCCGCTTAGCCACCGCGACTTCCACAAACATGGAAGTTGGACAACTGGTAGTCTAGACTGCGGATTTGTGTACCCCTCTGATAAGTGTAAATTGGCACGGCTCCCAAGGCCGAAAGCTATGATTACACAATTCCATTTAGAAAGTGGTCTAATGTGACATGTTATATTTGGGATTACACTTTCTTAGTAAAGTACAGATTCTAGTCCTCTTGTTGGGTTGAGCCCCATCCGGGATTCGAACCCACACCCTCAGAGTCAGGCACCTAATCGCCAGCACAAAAAGTCAGCCGCCTTACCCGCTCAGCCACCGCGACTTCCACAAAAATGGAAGTCGGACAACTGGTAGTCTAGACTGCCAACTTTGTGTACATAGCATTCGGCCGTGGGAGCCGTGCCAATCACTTTTTTAATACAGACGAAAAGACTCCACAGAATTTCCTAAGATCTCGAAGCTACAGGAATGATTGAGTATATTCTTTGGCTTTTGGAGTGATAAAAGGAGTACAAACCCATAGAATCTACCTTTTGTATAAGGTTCATTTATCATTCTCAATCTGATTTGCAGATTATAGTAAGCAAGGTAAGAATTGCAAAATGTGTCTTTCCATGATGGCTCCTGTTGCAAACAACAAAAGTAAGCGAACGTCTACACACCTGCTAATAGTAGCGAGGGTACTGGTAGTTGTCATATTTGGGCTTCTGGTAGTCATACCTGGGCCTGTAGGAGCCATATTTGGGCTTATAAGGGTCATACGAGGGTCTGTAGCTGTCACCCTTTGGATAGTCATATCCCACGTATCCCCGGTTATCATAACCGTACTTTTGATCATAACCAAAGGTGGCCTGGGAGAGGGCCAACACAAGGGCCATCAACAAAGCAGCAAACAGGTTCTTCATCTTGACGATCACTGAGGGAAACGAAGAGTAATTATTAACAAAGTAGTATGTGCATATAGCATTTACACATGGTCACTGACATCTCTGTGAGTTCAGGTTTTCTTTGGAGAAAGAGTGAGGAGTTTAGATTTACGCCGCATTTAGAAACATAGTCCATCAAAATTGCGGTACGGGACACCTGAAATGGGCTTCACACATTGCACTCATGTGGGGAATCGAACCCGGGTCTTCGGTGTGACCAGCGAACACTTTTAGCAGTAGGCTACCCCACCGCCCCCGTATATCTACTGAGAGAATAACTGAATCAATGTAGAAATCTTCCACACACACTCAACCTAATAGCTACTGAGTACTTACCAGTATCTCTACAAGACAGTGTTATGTGAAATTACGGAAACAGTTCTCCTTTTATAGAACAAGAAACACACTTTAGCCTATTTTAAATAGGCCTGATATAGATCATTTCTCGACAGTTGAGATATTTATATTTGTTTGTAAACTTAAAGGTAAAGGTGAAAACTTGTCAAAGCGGAAGCCTTTGAGAAAATATTCTTTGTGGCATAACATTGATGAAAGGTTCACATAAGACTGATTATATGCATTCGCACTCTGTTCACACTGGTCGTAACACCATGTGTTTAGCATAAAGAACGAAAATAAATTTAAAATATGAATCTCCTTTTGATGGTGCTCATTAACTCTCACAAAATGTAAACTTCTCTCAAATTGCCAAACTTAAGGAGCTGAACTTTGGAATGTATTTTCTCGTCACGGTAAAATCATAATTATGCGAATTTTTTGGATTAGATATATCCGCAGAATATTTAAATATCATGACGGCATCGTAAGTGTTTGTCTTAGATGACATTTTACACTGTTGACTGTTTATGAAGGTGAGCTACAACGCCTTCTATAGATCCTAATGGGGAAGAAGCAATCAAAAGAGCGCTTGAAAAAATGAAAGATCTTATATTTACTGGAGCGCACTTATGATCCATAATGCGAGTGTTGTTTTACGCCTCGATCAGCACAAGTCTGGTGTGAAACAACAAGAGAGAATAAAATTGTATTTTAGTATTGATAATGGTGAAGATTATAATTAAATATTTTTTACTTCCTGAGCTGCATACGGCCTTAGTGATAGTTCATGATACTGTAACAGGTGTTGATGATGCAACGAGGTACGAGTGATTACGTGAAATTTGCCAGAGTTGAAATAATGTTCACAGTGCCGAGCTTTGGCGAGGCACTGAACATTATTTTAACGAGGGCATATTTCCCGTAATCAGTCGTACCGAGTTGGTCATTCTACTTATTACACATAATGTTATTCAAAAAGAAAAACAACGAAATAAAACAACCTGGAGACAGGACTTGTGACCTCAAAAAGCTGAATCGTATTCATGCGCGTATTATACTTCTCCAGAGGTAATAACATAACTACGCTATGGAAAGTAATACGTCGTAAAATCACTTTAGAATGCAACAAATACATTTTTTATGGAATAATTTATTAACATTTGTTAATATGATAAAAACGATCTTTCAAATGCAATATCATTGAACTTAGTAACAGCTAAAACGTTTTTTGATCAAGTCAGTGACGGGCGGCGGTGTAGTGTTGAAACACACTTTGGCCAAAACCTGTCAATTTTTTGGAAAGTAAACGGTTGGGAATTATAAAAGACAACCATCCCACGAATACATCTAGAAAAAGTTTTCTGTCAAGAAACTCAACAAGTTTGAAGATTAAACAACATTTTGTTCTGTGGAAGGCGTGTTACAATCACGCCATTGGTCGCAGTAGAGTACAGCAGTTCCAAGAAGGATAACTCTAGTCGGAATCCGAGTCAATGGGAAGAATACGCCTCTTTTGGAGCATATGGTCGACTCACAGAGGAGTCATTCGAGATGTTAAAGTGGAATACACCAACATAAAATGTACAGAATGAAGATTTACGGCATGCGACAAAGACTGTGACGTCATGGTGGCAGTCTGAGGCTGAGTGGGCAGAGTGGTGGAGTTACAAGGGGTTTGACAACAATTTATTGATGGACTGATGTTGTTTCTCATTAATTGAAGAGTAACTATTTATTGATTAAACATTTTTGTGGCAGACTCACTTGTCACACTTTCAAGTAACACCTTTAGTCGGTATCCTGCTGCTTCTATTTCCCCGAATTCAGTTATAACAACAAACAGGTTGTAGGTATTCAAGGGCTGTAACATTCTTCTCACTCTTCCTACTAGGCCACCATCAACTTTGATTGACCTTGATCGGGGTTAGCCTAATGGCGGCCATGTTTGCTTACAAACAATGCAAACGATTGTTGTTGGTTTTTTTAAGGTTATCTATTTTTAAAAGACTACTGTTTATAACGCAATAGTATTGCAAAATAATAATGTCTAATAAAAGGAGTATTCATATTCTTTAACCTTTATGTTTTCTTTTTTAAATCTCGGAATGTGTGAGTTCAGCATGTTTTTATTATCAATGAAACGGTAAAAGTTGTCAATGAACTTGGATCATGAAAAGTAGTTCCGTCAACCAATCATATTTCTTCTCTGCTTAGCTGACCAATCAACGTTGAGAATCACTGAAAAGCACATGTGCGATTGTCACAAAAATAATCACCTGTGCATTCTAACCCGTATGGGTGATATTAACCGCTCTTAAACACTTGCCTGAATCTTGCCTCTGCTGAACATTTTTGATGAAATTGGGACAAAAGGTCATGTTCCTCCCTCATAGTTGTTCCTATTCCAGAGCCTGGCCGAGATCGTACAGATCCATCAAATTATTGAACTACTTCTTTAACTACCCGTGTTTGGGTGACCATGGAGCGAACGAAGGAACGAAGTTATGAAGATATATAGGAAAAACATATATACTCACAAGATATATACTCACAAGATGTTCATATTGATGAATCTACTTGCAATACTGTCAACGCGTGGATGTGCGTCGACTGGGGAATTAGCTCATGTTTAAGATGAAGTGTACGTACAATACGTTGACAAGAAGAAGGAATACGTTGAGCTCAAACTTCTTTAGTTACATGACAAACAAATTCACAAGACATAAATGAGGTGAGCGGGAGTACCTGCTCAACCCCAGGGCGTTTCCTACAAGCAGCATTATGCTGCTCGTGGTCGTCTCAACACAGACAGTCGGAATACCGGACACGTACACGTACCGGACACTGTGTTTTTTTCAATATACATGTACATGTAGATGTGAGCATATGTTTACAGTTTTTGACAACAATGGACAGGTGAACAGAAGCAATTTTGAACAAACTCACTTGCCTCGTTGTGGGGCAGGACAGATGTCCTAGAACTCTCAGGAAAGAGGACATGGGTATTGGTAGTTTAATAATTCCTTGTTGTTAAAACCTGAATATGGAAACTTAGTAAAAACAATATTAAATGATACTATTCAGGAATATTCAACAGAAAAAACTGATGACTTTAAAAACACTGAACATATTAAACTTTCAAATTTTTAATTCCTTATTTCTTGAAACTTTATGAATGAAAATTCGGGGAAAGGCTATATCTTTTTCATCCTACATAAAGAACACAAAAACAAAAATACAGAAGAACAAGACTTAAAACAAACCCAGGTTATTATTAGCAGAAACTTTCAAAACATTTATGAAGAACTTTTGTGTGAACTATATAAGAAAACACGGAAGAAGTTAATAATGAGGAAGTATAAGGAATACAAATCCGACACCGAACCCGAATTCTTTGGTATGAAGAGTTAGAAAAATATTAAAAATATTTCTGCCATCTGGAAAATAGAAATGTCCCCCAAAATCAATCAATAAGTTGATAACTAATGATAACAATGAAATCACAGACAACAAATCAATACTTAATGAAGTAAAACTAGTTTATAAAAAATCTCTATACTTCTCGTGAAAAGTATAAGGAAGAAAACTGCTTGAAGGATATTAAAACCCCAACGAAACACTAAGAGACTATCTTGAAAGAGAAATCAGTATAGATGAAATTAGCAATGCTGTTTACAGGATGAAGAATAATAAAAGTCGTGTGATTGATGGATTTCCTATTGATTTCTTTACATTTTGGGGGAAAGAATTTAAAATATGGATCTATAGATTTAAAAACTGGAGGCCAAGCTCTTTACTTAATGATTTACTCGTGCCAATAATATTTAATGGTTGTCACTCCCCTCCCAAACCCAACCCCACACACCTCACACACACACCCCACACCCCCTCTCCTATTAAAAAAATGAACCAACCATTATTGGCATGAGTATATTTATAAACCTATCAGCTCCTGCATTGCTCAAAGATTAAAAACTGCTTTAGATGAACTTATTCACTCTAATCAAGCTTGTTTTATACCAGGTAGGACTATTAGCAAAACTACAATATTGTTATGATATAATGTTTGGAACAAATTCCTGGCTTGGTGATACTGCTTGATTTTGAAAAAGCGTTTGACACTGTTTCAAAAGATTTTATTAACCTAGTTTTACATCAATTTAAATTTGGCCCTGAAATGATAAGATGGATAAATTTATTAACTTACGAAACAACATCTCGTGTCATCCAACATGGTAATCTGTCTGACCTATTTGCAAATGAAAGAGGATGCAGACAAGGAGACCCACTATCCCCGTACCTTTTTCTTTTTGCTGTTGAGATTCTTGGCTTCTTGATACGAAATAATGAAAACATCAAAGGTATTGTCATCATTGATAATGAATATAAACTGGATCAAAATACTGATGATACTGAACTATTTCTTGGTGGAACAGAGTATAGTTTGTACACTGCTATTGACACAATTAATCATTTTTACAAAATGTCAGGTTTGAAAATTAATTTAGATAAATCAAATATAGATTGGATCAAAATCTAAATATATTGATAATTTGATAAAATATGTAATGATCTGAATTAGTAATTGGTGAGTTTGATGTACTAGGTATTAAATTTACACCAGATCTTAAATACGTATGTGTAAGAAACACCCATGTAATACACCTTTCAAAGATATATTTAATTTTGGAGCAAATTCTGAAACTTACATTAATATTGAAAATATTTTTCGGCATGATGTATTTTCTTGTTTCAGTTTGTATCACTAGAAAGTGGTTTTCTCATTTGTGTTTTATTCGTATTTATTACTCGCCCGTGGAAGATACTGCAGTGTAATATGTTTACAATTGCATGAGTGGACAGCGCACATCATGACACCAGGTGTTCACAAAAAGAGTCATCAATATGTTGGCACCCACCTCTCTCACAAGACTTAATGTGTGTGGTGGCAGTTGCAAAGTTTGACGCATCAATGACAACAATGATGTCCGATGCAATTCCACATTTTGATTTGAACCAGACCTCCCTGCTCTGTTAAGGTCAATAACTGTGGTCACATCTGAGGTCATCAATATGTTGATAGTGATTTATAAACACATGTTCGCGATACAGTAGGCACTGTACGATCAACTCGACGTTCTACAAAGATTTCTTATTGATAATGAATAGGTTTCTTTTATTTGAAATATATGTTTTTCATTCATATGTAATATCACCTCAAGTAGATTTATGAAATAAAGGTAGTGCGGTGGTAACTCTTCAACTAATTAAATCACGCAAATACAATCCCCCATGCAAACGAACTACTTCAAAGTTGATAGGACCCGTGAAGGTCCGGGTTAGAATATTGATCTTCAGTAACCCATGCTTGTCGTAAGAGGCAACTAACGAGATCGGGTGGTCGGGCTCGCTGTCTTGATTGACACATGTCATCGGTTCCCAATTGCGCAGATCGATGCTTATGTTGTTGATCACTGGATTGTCTGATCCAGACTCGATTATTTACAGACCGCCGCCATATAGATGGAATATTGCTGTGAGTGCGGCGTAAAACTAAACTCACTCACTCACTCACTCAGAGTTGATAGAGTGTCACTCGAGAGCACACTTTGCTTTAGGTTATTTTTGCCAACAGAACAATAATACGCATGAGAGTTTTACAATTTATTGCTCTACTGATAATTGCGAATCAGTGTCCATTTTGTTCTGTGGTTCGTTTCAGGTTTGGGGCAGGAACGCTGAAAAAAGAAAGAAAGTTAAGAATGCATAACAATGTGACGTTTTAGATACTGGTTTACGTGATGGAAGCG